GCTTTAGTTATACTGAGCAATCCAAGCCTAGATTCACCCAGGGCTCTCAGGGCACTCCCAAACTGCAGGAAGTACTGGGGAAGTAGCTTTGGGACTATATTTGCCTGCGCACCCACAGAGAGAGCATGGCATTGAAATGTTTGTAGAGAGTTCGGTTGGTTCTCTCATTTATTCCTGGAAAAGGACACTATGATTACAGCTCCTGATCACTCAAAGACGCAACTGGTAGGACAATTTATGATTGACTGTGTTTGAATATATTGAGTTTAAATGTTCAGGTTCTGCTTGGATTGTAATTTGCAATTTAAAATAAGTAATGGGGATTTGTTATGTGAATGTTGAACTTGACAGAAGTAACATGTGCATGAGTTTAATTACGGGATTGGTATTTTCTTGTTAAAATCCTAGGTTAGACTTAAGGATCGTGTTTAGTTTGGTTTGAAGATTCAATAGCATTTATTTATTATTTCTGCGAGAAAGTGGTATTGTGATTTATGTGTGACTGATTCATGGTTTGGTTTGTGTATTTGAAAGGTTATCAACCTATACCTACTGCCCCACACTGATCTATCAAGTCACATTCAAGAAACTATACCATATTATTCCACCACTGGTCTATCAAACCATCTCAAAGAAAATAAAGAATCAAGAAGTGAAAAGATTGAGTTGTCCTTTGCGTTCTTCAGAGAGAAAAAGCAGTTTTCAAGTTTGGGCTGAGCTGTAATCAATTAAAACACACAGAACTTGACACACAGACATATGCAAGACATGGGTTTCAGCTGTGGCATTCCTTGTGTCAAGCCACTCTTGAACAAGACACAGCGTCAGAAGCGTCTCACCTGGGCTAAAGTCAAAAAGGACTGGACTGCTGCTGAGTGGTCCAAAGTTATGTTCTCTGATGAAAGTAAATTTTGCATTTCCTTTGGAAATCAAGAGAGGAGAGGCACAGAATCCACGTTGCTTGAAGTCCAGTGTAAAGTTTCCACAGTAAGTGATGGTTTGGGGTGCCATGTCATCTGCTGGTGTTGGTCCACTGTGTTTTCTGAGGTCCAAGGTCAACGCAGCCGTCTACCAGGAAGTTTTAGAGCACTTCATGCTTCCTGCTGCTGACCAACTTTATGGAGATGCAGATTTGGCACCTGCACACAGTGCCAAAGCTACCAGTACCTGGTTTAAGGACCATGGTATCCCTGTTCTTAATTGGCCAGCAAACTGGCCTGACCTTAACCCTATAGAAAATCTATGGGGTATTGTGAAGAGGAAGATGCGATACGCCAGACCCAACAATGCAGAAGAGCTGAAGGCCACTATCAGAGCAACCTGGGCTCTCATAACACCTGAGCAGTGCCACAGACTGATGGACTCCATGCCACGCCGCATTGCTGCAGTAATTCAGGCAAAAGGAGCCCCAACTAAGTATTGAGTGCTGTACATGCTCATACTTTTCATGTTCATACTTTTCAGTTGGCCAACATTTCTAAAAATCCTTTTTTTGTATTGGTCTTAAGTAATATTCTAATTTTCGGAGATACTGAATTTGTGATTTTCATCATCATTTAAATCAAGTTATTATTTAAATCATCACAATTAAACGAAATAAACATTTGAAATATATCAGTCTGTGTGTAATGAATGATTTTAATATCCAAGTTTCACTTTTTGAATCGAATTACTGAAATAAATCAACTTTTTGACGATATTCTAATTATATGACCAGCACCTGTAGTGTTTACATAAAGGTAATACACTTGCTTGTCAGTAGATGGTGCTCTTGGAAATGCTAACTGGGATGTTTTTCAAAAGATCAGTACAAACAGATTCAAGAAACTCAAAGAGGAGAACCAGACAGATGTAAACATAATCAATAGTACAATAGTTAATGAGATTATTCAATCTGCTGAGGAAACAATCCCTAAGAGTACAGGAACTAAACGGACCAAGAGTGTGCCCTGGTGGAATGACAACTGTAGTAAAGCCATAAAGGCCAGGAATAAAGCATTTAGAGAGCTCAAGAAACATCATTCTCAGGATGCATTGATCCAGTATAAAAGGGCCCAAGCAATAGTAAGGAGGACAATTAGAACACAAAAACGAACATTTTGGAGGCAGTACTGTAGCACTATTGGAAGGGAAGTACAGCTGTCAGATGTATGGGGCATGATTAGAAGAATGGGGGGGATTAGAAGAAATTATGAGATACCAGTGTTGAACACTGGGAACAAAATGGCTGTCAATAACTTAGAAAAGGCGGAACTTTTTGCACAAACATTTGAAAGGGTTCATAGTTCGTGTAATCTCACAGATGAGGCTAGGCAGTGTAGAGAGGAAATCTTAATGAAGAATCCCAAAATAACAGAGAAAAGGGAGGTGTCAGGAGATCCGTTAGATCTACCGTTTAATATGTTTGAGCTAAGAAGAGCAATTACGAGTGCTCGTCAGACCACTCCAGGGAAGGACGCTGTATGTTATGGAATGTTGGCACACATGACAGATAGTGCACTAGACACGGTGTTGGGTTTGTTTAATAAAGTTTGGGATGTTGGCCAACTTCCTTTAGCTTGGAAACAAGCAATAATAGTGCCCATTCCAAAACCAGGAAAAGATCAGTCAGACCCTTCCAGTTATAGACCTATTGCATTAACCTCACACTTGTGCAAAATTATGGAACGAATGGTCACAGAGCGTTTAACATACTTCCTAGAGAGTAAAGCTCTTCTGTACCCGTACCAGAGTGGGTTCCGTAGAGGTCGGAATACAATGGATTCAGTACTGTGCCTAGAATCAGACATCAGGAAAGCACAGACCAACAAAGAAATACTGATAGCTGTATTTTTTGACGTTGAAAAAGCATATGATATGCTCTGGAAAGAAGGGTTACTTATTAAGTTGAAGTCATTGGGTATTGGTGGTAGAACATATAATTGGGTTATGAACTTTCTATTTGACAGGGAAATACAAGTAAGAGTTGGCACAGAATACTCCAGTGTATATAAGGTGGAAAATGGAACTCCGCAAGGTAGTGTGTGCAGCCCATTGCTATTCAACATAATGATAAATGACATCTTCTCTCAGGTTGAACAAAGCGTAGGGAAATCTTTGTACGCAGACGACGGGGCTCTGTGGGTAAGAGGCCGCAATGTGTTGCACGTCAGTAAGAAAATGCAAGCTGCAATAGCTGCTGTGGAAAAATGGGCAAATAAATGGGGATTCAAGTTATCTGTTGCAAAAACACAGGTGATCTGTTTCTCAAGGCGGCATAAAGTCACGCCTATTTCCATGAAGTTATATGAACAACCACTTAAGCAAGTCAAAACAATTAAATTTCTTGGGGTTTGGTTTGATGAGAAGCTCACCTGGAATACTCATTTAGATAAAGTTAAGAACAAGTGTAAAAAGGTCATCAATATACTTCGTTGTCTGTCAGGACAAGAGTGGGGAGCAAGCAGAGCAGCTCTACAAAATATATACTGGGCACTCATGAGATCCGTTTTTGACTATGGATGTGTAGCGTACATGTCAGCAGCAGAATCAAACCTTAAGAAGTTGGATGTATTACAAGCTCAGGCCTTGAGAATTTGCAGTGGATCAGTCAGAACATCTCCGGTGTCAGCAATGCAGGTGGAAATGGGAGAAATGCCGTTAAGAATCAGGCGAGTAAAGTTAATGTTGGCATACTGGGTTAATCTCCAGGGGCAAAGTGACTCTCATCCTGCCAAGAGTCTCTTAATAGATTGCTGGGAACACAATGAGACAAATTTCACAAGTTTTGGGTGGATTGGTGATGCAAAGGCAGAAGTCATAGGATTACGACAATTAGACTACAGCCCTACAGTGTCACAGTCTTCCATTCCTCCCTGGTTATTCCCAACACCAATTGTAGATCTAAACATACAGCAGGAGTTGAAGGATATGTCAAAGAAACTTCCAGCATGCAGTATAGTACAGAATTACTTTGATTTACATTTTTCAGACTCCATGTTTATATTCACAGATGGCTCCAAAGATCCTGATACAGGGCGTGCAGGTGCAGCAGTCTTTTTCCCAGCAAGTGAGTCATATATCAAGAAAAGAATATCAGATCATGTCTCAGTGTATACCACAGAGTTGACTGCAATAGTACTGGCCCTGCAGTGGATAGAAGAGAGGGAAACAAATAATACTGTCATTGCATCTGATAGCTTGTCTGCTCTAATGAGTATTAAATCTGGCAAATCATCATTTAGATCCAAAATCCTCAATGACATATTCCTTATATTGTACAGGATGGAGCTAAAAGGTTTATCCACATGCTTCCTTTGGGTTCCTGCTCATGTTGGTGTGGAGGGAAATGAGCAGGTGGATATTATGGCCAAAGGAACACTCAAAATCAAACATGTAGACCTAAAAACCCCTTTAACTAAAGATGAAGCTAAGACATTTATCAGGACCTATGCACAGTCAGTTTGGCAGGAGCACTGGGACAACAGTGAAACTGGAAGGCACCTATATAATGTACAGAGACAGGTTGGTGCCGGAAGGATGGTGGGCTGGAAACGTAGGGAAGAAAATATAATCACTCGTCTGAGAATAGGACATACAGGTCTCAACCTTTCATTATATAAAATAGGTAAGCACCCAACTGGGAAATGTATATTGTAACCAACTAGAAACGGTTGAACATGTTCTCCTTCAGTGTAGGAGATACACTATCAATAGGGAACGCCTCTTTCAGTCATTACGGAAGGCAAAACATCATGATATCTCATTGGCGGGTCTCTTGGGGAAAACAGCAGGCCAGATATATTGTCATATAATTAAGTTTCTTAAAGAAACTGAGTTAGGAAAAAGAATTTAATTTATGTTTATTTTTTATTTTTTTATTTTATTTTTTCTTTGTTTTTGGTTTTGTTTATTTCATTTATTTCCTGCCTAATCTCTCGTTCCACACTCCAGTCCAGCTTGTGGCGGTAATGCACCGTTAAACTGGTTTGCCAACCGCCATTAAACCCTAAAGAAGAAGAAGAAGATGGTGCTCTTGTACTGCTGTGGATCGCGTAGGGAGACTGTAACTACAAGCTCTGCACACGCGCAGCTGCTTGAGGAAGACGCTAACTTTGGTCATCTCTTTGTCAATTCACAGGTACAGTAAAACTCATTTTTCTATGTTTAGCTTGGATAAGGATGGAATGTAAATGCAGTATAAAATCTTCTGTTGTGTTGTAAGATGAATTCGAGATGTGTGTGTGTGCAGCAAGCTTCATTTTGTAGCTAACTATTCTGACGTCATGATAAGTAGTTCTTTTTGTCATGAACTTAAGTCTCACACGGTATGTTAGATTTGTAAGTGAGAGTAACTAGTTTGAGCATTCTGTAACATGCGATAATATGTTCTAGACGTTGTTAAGAGTTTTAGCCAGCCAGTAGGGAGTAAGTGGTCAGAGGAAAGATACCATATTCAAGCTCATATTGCTGGTCACACACTGCGTTGAATACCCGAGTAGTATTGGTGCGTTCCATTTGACATGGGAAGTCGAAATTTCCGAGATTTCCGACTCGGGAAGTCGGGAGAACCGCACTGCCCCGACTTCGTGATCAAAGATGGCTGTCGGGGTATCACCATTTAGTGAAAGCTGTAGTTTATACTATTTATTAGCACTTCTGTGTACTTGTGACTCATATAAATGTTCGTACACAAAGTGCTGTCCAGCAGCTGACTGTGGAGGTGTTGCTACAGTGTTTAGTGTGAGTAAACACCGCACAATACGTTTTTTTAATGAACTGTCGTATCAATAGCTAATCTGGCTAGTAACGTTAGCTTCAGTACCGGAGGCTGCAGTTTCAGTACCATAATCCTAGGACCAGAACTGTATTTCTAGGACCCTTGTTTACTTCGATACTGCCAGCGCCCCCCACCACACGTCGGGGCGACGTGGACCGTGGAACTGTGATTGGTCGACTGGGAAGGCCAGCACAGGAAGTGCTCCGAGCTTTGAAGTAAATTCTACTAGGGGCCAAAACAGCGGCTGTAACACGGTGGATCAATATATTTGAGCGTCACAACCCAAGCGAAATGACTCATTTTACTATCAGAATGTGATCCATTCGGTCAATAACATTTGAAAAGTCAGTAACAGCTGCATGTATATATAATAATAATTTTACCCCCATTCAAGTTAGCGGATGTCTAAACCGGAAGTTAGCCTTCTCGGCCAGCAAAGGTCACCACAGTGGACGCTGTACCGCTACCACCAACTAGCGTTTGGCGGTGCAGAACGACGGAGACACTGAAACAGAAGTATAAATTGCGCTTAACATATCATGGTACCACCATATTGTTACGCACATGCGGTTAAGTGCAAGTGTGGGAGATAGTGTGACATACAAGAAATGTGTAGAAAGATTGTGTATGTGTATTTCATGCTAGTGTTAAAATAAATGTTATATAGATATAATTTTTTTGTAATTATTTAATATGTTAATATGAGAGTGACTGCAGAGGTATCGGAGTAAAGTGAATGTGTGTTTTGAGTTATATTACTTTGTTACATATTAGTATTTTGACTTATGTCAATTTCGGTATGTGGAATATCTGTTAAACTATTTTGATATGATGTGCTTATTTTGCGTAAGGTAGAATGTTTTATATATTGTATATTGTCAGTTTGGTTACATCATTTTGTTGTTTATTTGTGAAATGTTTAGTGTTAGTTTAACAGGCACTTTAAGCAGAGATTTAAAGATAATGTGACTAGGCCTTTATGTGATTGTAGTCAGAAATAAACAAGCTCTGGCTTGAGCACGACGCTAACTTTGGTCCTCTCTCTATCACTCCTCAGTGGCAACATAGTGCTTCCTAGCCTGTTTAACCTGCCGGTCCAGATTCTAGGTCTGAGCCAGACCTAGGGGGAATGCAGTCCACTAACACCATAAAATGTCTCCCAGCACAACAAAAACTCAGACGATGTTGGGTCAACATAAGGAAAGGCTGTAGTCACGGAGAGACCTCCACTTTGTTTTGAAACTGACAAAACCGACAGAGTTGGCTTTCATCCTATTGGACAGGTAAACTAACATTGCTGCAAAGCATGTGAAACATACTGTGGTGTTGTGCTTTAGTTGGCTAAAGTTAGATAATGTTAGCTCGTGGGCTAACGCCGAGCAGTTGCTAACCTTTATCCGGTGCAAAATACTACAGTTGAATGGCAGTCTACATTACTTCACAACGCGACTCATATTACTATCCTGTGTACCAGAAATTACATAATGGCACAAGGCAAATGTGGAGTGACTTTTTTATACTAGCCTAAAACATTAGTAATGCAAGGCAGGCGCAGCCAGCTAACATTAGCAAGGATCTACCGCTGTTTGCTTCATGCAGAAGTGCTGACATTGCTGAGCCTCCGGTGAAACAAATAATAACATTAATTCCCGAAAAGCAGGCAGACGAGCTTATGCTGATGTATAACGTCGGCTAAATGCAGTAAATGTAACATTATCATGTAACGTGCATAGATTACTTCAACTTCAAGCTGATAAAAATATTACTGTAACGTTGTAGTGGGAGTTTACCTGAGTTTCCAGCGTGCTGTGTGAAGCTGTCTCCCATTGAGTCTGTAGATGTGTCGGATTATGCTTGCTCATAAGATTGAACACTCATACGAGCACACACCTGGTTGCAATCTACAAACCAGACCAACAGGTCCTCATACCGAGCAGGTAGATTGTCAATTGTCCCAAAATGACATACAAGACCAAAACAACAAATATGTCCGTTGGAAAGTACAATGAAAAATAAGACCGTTTCCCAAAATGACACTTAAGAGCATTGGTACAAGTCTGTCACTTGTCACATGACGTTTAACATGTGGAAAACATGAAAGAAAGGTAAATCTATATATTTGCTGCCGGCTCACTTAGTTTGAGCTATATTCTGTACTCCATGGTTATATTTCTCTGTAATGGACAGTCAGTTTTAATAAATGTGGGCGTGATTGTTGGTGGCCCTGGTATCTGAGGCCTATTATATGTTTTCTTCTTTGTAACGCGTATGTGTGCGTGCATCAGAGAGCACGTGTAAGGGAGAGCTGGGCTCTCCTCGGGCTGGGGCTGGGTTAAGGCTGGAGTCACATGACATAAGTCATCTACAAAATCTAAAACATGTCAACTTTAACTACAACTGGGTTGTAATAAGCTATACAATAATCGACCTATACAGCCTTTTTTCTGATGAGGATAGGCTGATTTCATCAGCAGAGTCATGTGCAAATGAAAATCTTGTCAACTTCACATCTATAATATATTTTCTATATTATTTCGTGATTAAAGTTACTTAAATATTGTTAATATAGTAATTTATGTAGTTTCTTTCTTTGTGTGAGAATTGGAAACTCCACACCTGCTGCTAACTGCTAGCTGAATTTCAAAATGTCATGAGTGAAAAAGGCCCACTGGGCTAAGCTTAGTTGTTACCAATAAAGTATTTAGTATTTATGCATACATACATCATATTGGAGTTGATTCTGGGACGTTGTGGATGGTTAAAGGGAAGCATACAAAATATTATCATATACAGGAACATTATTCATTTTTTAAAGTCAAATAACCATCTGAGATACTGACAAAAAAGTTTTGTAGGCACAGAAATGTCACTGAAATGAGTCGTTACTACAACTATACACCAGATGGTGCTATAGGGTTTAAGATCTGAGCAGGAACCAGGTTTACATTAAATATTATATTGATAGTATGCCTTTATACATACATTTCAATTAGAAATGTTTCAGATTACATAAGCTAAAACATCACCTTCACAGAGACAAACTGTCACAGTTAAATGAAGTAATTCTGTGCTTCATTAATCAAAGGGACACAACAGCGGTGGCAAGCTGTCAATTTAAAAACACAAATAATAACTACTATTCTTATTATCTACTCGTGAAACTTGAAGATACTAAATAATACAATCTTATTTGACATTTCTGATATTTAGATTCTAATATTCATGAAAGATTCACACACTTGAATGTTACTTTTAATGATAACACAGCCAACATCTGAGCCCAAAATTAGTGACAAGACATGAAGTCATAATGGTATTAAGGAAGCGCTGATGCCCAAACAAATCAGAGCTAGTTAATTCCCTGTGCCCAAACTTTAAATCAATGTGGCATGATCAAGAGGTTCATTTCCAGAAGGACAATTACAGGGAACATTACAGGCTGTAGGTAAGAGGGTCAAAAACATTGTTCTGCCTGTCAGGAGAATGAATGTGTTTCTATTTTTGCTATGATGAGAGCACATAAGTTCTAGGTTGTGAGAACAATGTTGAACGTCTCTTGCAGAAATAATTTAAGTGCTATTTAGTATGTTTACTAATTCTGTCTGTAGGGCAGGTTGGGTGTGTTGTGTAAAAATATGGGGCTGGAAGCTTACTTGTATATTTATTTATAGAGTTGAGGACACAGAAGTCAATGTATGCAGGCTGGCTGCTGTGAGTGATAGAAAATATATAATAACATTCATATTCCAGCAAACCAGGCAATGTTTTGATGCTGAATAAATGCTGGCTTGTAGCTGGTAAAAACCTGTGCTGTGACAAACTGTGCAGCGGATAAATACAATATATATAATATGTAAGTCACCTGAACAGCACAACTGTTATGCAGTTAGAAATGAATACTTCCAACAAACTAAGAAGGAAACTGCTTTTAAACACAAAGGATTATGAATAAAAGAACATGGATGAAGGAAGAAAAAGAAAAAGAAGCTACAACCAGCAGGATGACAAGTTACCTTGGTATTCCCAAATACATACTATACTATTTGAGTAGCTAGTATAATATAGTTTAATTAACCGGAATTTAAATTAACAGGAAATTACCTCGTGAAAAACTCTAAAAAACAGAAAAGAGAAAGCCACACATCTTTACTGAGATATTAAATGTAGTTTTAGTTTTGTGCTTTGCATTGTTGGAGAATTCCTTTTTTTTTTTTTTTTCCAGTGAGAAGCACCTTTTCTTAATTGTACAGTGAGCGTTCGAGTTTTGAGCACCTGCTGTGCCTTGCGTTTTTGAAGGAGCGCTCTGAACGCATGGAGAAAAAACTCTGGGCAAAAAAGCGGCAACGTCATTCGCTTTTTTCCCCTCCATTGTCCAATCGAATGAATGGAGAGACAGGCCCTCAGTTGTGGTGACGGAAGTTTAGAGTTGCAACCGAACATCATTAAGCCAAAGCTGCTGGACCAACTGGTGGTACTACCAGTGGTGTCTCCCCTCTTTCTGAGGGTCTCGTGTACCCACACGAATCTCCGTTTCCATGTATCCTACATGTTTATACACTGCTCACCCTCAAACAGTGCCGGAGCAAGCGCCCTTCATTTGTCTTTATTTATTTTTTTTTAAAGCAGATTTTTTCAGCAAAAAAAACCACAGACCTGTGAGTTGTGATCAAGTTTCTGCTAATTTGACAGTTAGCAGCAAACCAAAGATTACAGATTGCTGGCGCTATAATTAGATTAGACAAAAAAGGCATTGCTGTGTGCCTTGCGTTTTTGAACTTGCAAAACGCTTTCTGTCTGCTACAGTTTGTACTGTAGTGTGTCTATAATCAGTCTAATAAACAAGCTGATTCTGAGTCACATGACTTTTGTTCAGATTAATTAATTACAAAAATATTGAACAGTTTAAATTTCTAAACTATAATTCAGACCAAAGACAACCTTTGCTTTGATTGCACCTTTAATTTGATATTTACCTGTGCCATTATTACATGTTGTTTGTGCTTATGCACTTCATGTAATCAGGTTGCACTTGGTCTCACTCTGCCTTCTGTCAAAAGCTTTATGAATGCAAATGCTGTTGTATAATAACATACACTATGCTCCAAACATAACACTAACATCTTGGGCGTGTCACCTCTTCTTGCAGAGTGCTTAATGCTTTAATAAGTGAAATATAATCATATACAAAAAGTAGAAACGTTTAAATACGTTAAGCTGAGATGACTGAATTCCATCCAGAAACATCAAACATTTTATTGTATTTATAATAAACATTTGAGAATGTGAAATGCTAAATATTCCTCTTTAACATCTGACATTAACAAAACCTGAAACATAATAAATCTCTTAATTCTTGACTCTTGAAAATGTAATGACAGCTTATTAAACCCAGTGTAACATTAACTAAATAAAACTGTAACATTGCATGATCAACAATAAACCTGTAACCTGTTTGTTAATAATTAACGTGATGGCAGCCAGCGGGACGAAAATGATTACATTAATCGACTACCACAAGTTTGGACAGTAAACAAACGCTCATTCATCTTTTCATAACGAACGACAGTCGGACCATACCTCCAGTAGACTGTAGCTAAAGTAAGAAGCAAGCTAACTTTAGATGGCCAATGCTGAAATAAACATGTTTAATCACCACATATTACTAACCCATTTTGTGTTCAGCGCTTCTTTTGTTTGGGTCTTGTTGTATGAATTTTTAAAGCCAAAGTTTATGATGAATGGCTCAACAGCTACCAGTGTTTGTTGTCCTCTCGTACATGTGGCTGCACGCAGCAGATACTACGTGTTATGTAGGCAGGTTATAGGTAACGGAGGGAGGGGAATAATAGTAAGCTCATCAGACGTTTCCTAAAAATAAACATTGTTCACAGGACGAGTCTCAAGTAGAGTCTGAAGTCACTGTCAGAAGCCATCTCTGGATTGGGACAATTTGGCGGTACATACTGCAGCCTGGTTGAACAGGGAAACTTTCATGCACCAGGTAAAGATTTAGTTTAGTTTGTACAGATCAAAATGTCTTATTACTTTAGATGCAGGATTTAAAGTTGCACTAAAGTGGCCCAAAATGATGAAGCAATTTGTCCAACACTGTTTTACTACTGTTTTGTTATCTGGCCTCTCCCTCTTTCTGTCTTCATTAGTCGCCTCCAGACTGACTGGAGTTATTTGATTAGAGTTCCATTTCATTCTGTTACAGCGGATGAGGACCCAGAATGAGGACATATGAAGATAAATAGGCTTGACTGTTGAGTGTACATGTATC